CAGAAGACTTCAGGTTTAGAGACGGGGCACAATCTTTTCACATAAATTGATAAAATGCAGCTGACAGGTTGTTAATTAAGATTTGCAACCACAGTGTTGAAAGATCTTTAGCACAATTCAAAATGCCATTACTGACTTTAAAAGCCCTAAATGTTCCATAATCAGGGTATACTAAACATTTTCTTCTACTATGAGTCCTCCCATTCACTAAGATATTTCTGTTAGAGGCCTTTCTTTGGTTGTCCCCACCTTTGGAGCATAGCTTCCAAGTAATGATACACAGGCTGGGGTGCCAACAGTCTTCTCCCTCAAGGTATTTGCTGGAGGGTGGCACTAGGAAAGAGGATGTCACCATGATACCTTTTGTAATCCTCTCTTCAATGTTATTTAACAGCTATTAAGAGCCCCCTCGCCCAACTGGTATGGAGTTTTGGGTTGAGTCGTCATCAGTACGTAGGGTTGCCAAGTAGTACTCACCTCCGGAGCGGGGCACTCCCGGGTGGATCCCGGAGTGCGCGCGTGCGCCGCATGCACGTCACTAAGAAGTGACGTTATGACGCCAGGCACGCTGGGGGCGGGGCCACGACAATCCAAGGGGAAATCATAGAGTTTCCCCTTGGATGGTCGTGGCCCCGGCCCCAGTGTGCCCGGCATCATAACGTCACTTCCTAGTGACGTGCACACCGGGGGTGGGGTTCCCCCCGGGGCCTGATTCCGCCACGGCGGAAATCGGGCCTCCAAAGTGGGGGTTTACCCGCCACCCGCCCCCACTTGGCAGCCCTATCAGTACACAGATGACACCCAGCCGTATCTGTTGATGGGTGTGTCAAAATCCCTGTCCCAACCCCGGGAAAGGACTTTTGGTACAGCAAATTAAAGTTACAAAACACCAGAGAGAGACTAAATCTCACTCTAGTCTTGGTAGGTGCCACTAGTCCTTTCACTCTATCCCAACAGCCCAGGAGCAAGACTGTGAAGGGATAAAACAATTAAATCTAAGCATATTCAGGACAGCTAATACATAGAGTCAAGGTTCCAAGTTACTGGCTTAGCTCAGGCAGTCTGTTCCAGCAAGTCAAAGATGTTCAGGGCATAGCCCTTCCAAACAGCAGTCAAGATGGATACCGGTCACACACAAAGGGATCTTTATAGCCACTGACATGCTTCAGTGCCAAGAGGTTACAAAGCCCAGCCATATAGCAAAGCCAACTAGATTTATGGAGAGGGTCTCTGATTGACCTCAGGCCTGTTAGACCAACCAGAAACCAGAAAGATGATGTAACTCTCTGTATGTTGCTAGCCACGTGATATCAAGGGATAAACCAGAGGAGGGAGAAATGAAACCATACTACAGCTAGGCCTCGCCCTTTCCCAGACAGGTTCCCCATAACTTCAGTTGCTTGGAATGTGCTAATTGGAAGGACCAGGGGAAAGTGGTACCCCCTAGCACTTCAACTCTACACAACTTAGCTGGCAAGGTCACTGTGTTCTAACTGTCTCCGTCTCTGGGAAATTTTCTGTAGGTCTCTCTGCAGCCTGAACCAAAGATTTTATTTCTCAGAGCAAAGCCAGGAACCATTTTTCTTTACAGGGTGCCTGGCTGGATGCCGCCCCAGATATTTTGGCTGAGTGTTTGGAGTTTGTGGTTGGATGGCTGAAGGAGAGCCAGCTGAAATTAATATCTACCCGCGGCAAAGAGAGAGGGGGACGAACGGACTATATCTGTAAAGGGAAGACCGGGCCTCCCCCCCCTTGGAACTGCAGAGTCCACAGCATTGCAAGACGTTAATATCTATCCACGGCAAAGAGAGAGGGGGACGAACGGAATTATATCTGTAAAGGGAAGACCTGGCCCTGGAGAGCTGAACTTGGGACCTGGGACTGTAGTAGGAGGCCCCAGGCATGACATCGAGACCACAACATCGGGACTATACCAACAGTAAGAGAACAGCCTAGAGTGTGCAGGAGAGGAGAGGAGTGTGGAGAAGAGCCAACCCGGACCTACAGTGTCATCATAGGTCAAACTACTGCTAACTAAATTAATTATTTGAATCGGATTGCAAATTATTAGATTGGGGTTGAATTGTGAGTAGTAATTGATGGATGAAATTGGCTTATTGATTAGCAAGGAGTGAGTTTGTACTACTCAGTTTGTAGTCTATTAATTAGTTAACCAATTAAGAGTAGCACTCTGATTTGTAGGATAAGTAATTAGGTGGGATTTTGCGTGGTTAGCATATTGATCGACTTACTGCCACCCGCTCTGAGCCCTGCTGAACAGGAGAGGGTGGCTGTAAGACAGATGTTCCACCAGGCCAATAGTTGAGGACAACAATGGTTTCTGGGATGATTTCCTTCACTCCCTCTTCCCCCTATGTTCCATTTCCTGTCTCCTTTTTCTTTGTTTGTTATCCTTTATTCTCCTAACTGTATGATATCTATTCCCCCATAAAGAAGGGGTACCATGTTGTGCTTCCCTTTTTATGTGCCACCATACTGGAGCTAGCATTATTGTAAGAATTGTTGTAATCGTTTTAATTCATGAATACTGTTGTCACCCGCTCTGAGCCCTGCTGAACAGGAGAGGGTGGCTATAAATCTAACAAACAAACAAACAATTTTAACTTAAGACTTGAACAACCATGTCTCAGCCTCAGCAGACTGTAAGATGGAAAGCTGGTATGAATTAGTACTATGTGACCCATTTCTAGGGTCATTTTAGGGTGTGTTTTTTAAATTCCAATAATTACTTTAAGCATCTCATTCATCAATAATACATCTTAACTCTAAAATTACAAGAACTTTGGCCTTCTACCCAGCCAGGTCAAATAAGAATAAGCAATTCTTCTATATCAAGAAGCTTCAATCTGCTATATACTACAGTACATGCATTTTAGGAAAGGGGAGAGGGGAAAAATACATCCAGTGTAGCTGTAAATGCTTTAATCAAAGAAGTTGCTCCTAGCTACACCTTATTTTTACATCAGTGCATTAAACATTCAAGGGAACTGAGAACACCAACAGAAGCTGGATTTCAATGAATGTTATATGATCCAAGAATGACATATGAATACCTTTACCTGTAGGCTAGGAATAACATCATGTATTTCAGAGTGGTAGGTATTCTGGGAATAGCTGAGGGTTGTTTGTCTTTTGTACTGAATACGCCGAGTAAACAAATGGGGAATTTAAAAAAAATCTATTTCATTTTCAAAATAAACAACATCAGCAAAAGATGGCTTATTTTACAGAAATTTAAGCTGAGTTCAGCAATGCTTGCAACAATTATTTTATTTATTTATTTGTTTGTTAAATTTCTATCCCATCCACCCCGCCATGGCCACCTGACTGTTATAAGGACCCTTTGCCAAAATGAATTATAGCACACAGGTCTATGGGAACACTCCGTTAAAATAAGCGATTTTCAGAGTGTCACGTTACTTCTAACTTTGAGGCTTTTAGAAGCACAAGTGCCTGTTGCTTCTAATTCCCTGCAATTATAGTACCATTTGAAATGAAAACTGCAGTGACGTACAAAAACTTCAGGGCAACATTAACGCATGCACATCTCTACAAATTTCACTATTAAAGCAACCTGTGAATAGGCTCTGACTTCGATGACATTGCTACTCTTAGATCTCTTCCACTGCACAGTGAACAAAAATGCAGCTTCTACTAAGCATTGACACACAAGGAACCTCTGGCACTGGGACCTTAAATTTCCACAGCAACTCGAGAGCTGCAACAACATTGTTCATTCCTGAAACACAGCACAACATGAGAAATTCTGTACAAGCTGAAAAAGCCCAAGATGCAGCTCTTCACTATACCAGTGCTTACCCATTTTCCTAAGGGCTGACGCTGACATGGAAGGATTCAGAGCCTGGGCTACTCTCCTGAAAGGTCTAGTGGGGCCTTCCATAATATTCCATGCATGGAACAGCACTATTGTGGCTGTCATAAGGCAACATAAGAGCTCAGCCTAAATATTATTCTTTTCAGTATTTGGCATATATTTGGAGATGACAAGGAAGATAATTTGGATAATACATACTGGATTCTCACCCTATTTTTTAAATTCAAAAAGGGGAACATTTGAAAACACAGCTTTCAGATGCTAGATCTGCCAGTATTTTTAACAAGAACCCTATAAAGCAGGTCATTGTTATACTTTCACTGTACAGATGAGGTGTTGAGGCTAATTATGATGCCCAGCTAGTTCATAGAAGAGCTAAAATTTGAACTGGGTTTCATAGACACATTGGCTCACAACCATCCAACAGCTCTCAAGTGGAGGGAAACATCTACGCTGTGGTCATATGACAAGCTTAGTGCAGCCTGGTCATGCCACGAATTGCACCAGTTTAAGTTGTAGCGGGAAGGTTTTGCCAGACAGCATATCCTAAGGCAGCTTCTCCATGTGCTTGTCCGGTGGTCAAGCATCCACATTACAGCTGTGCCTCAACTACGGAGTGCTGCATCTGGTCAGTTTTATAAAAATATATGGAATTGCGTGTGCATATGCACTTATGCGCACATCTCCAATGACTCCCCCTCCCCCTAAAAGAGGTGGAAACGGATTTTATGGTTCACACGTCCTAGCCGGCTTCTGTTCGCAAAAAGGGAAGTCCAGACATCCGGAAATGTGAGTTGAAAGCACAGACATCATAAAGTCAGGACTTTCTCGGTTGCCTGATTACTCTGCTTCCAAGGCGGGTTAGAATGGGGTGGTGACTACTGGGGCACAGAAGGTAGATGTTGCTGCCTGATCATGCTCTTTAAATCCACAAGGGTACCACAACGATATCACTGCAAACTGCACCTCTGACCACAGCCACAGTAACAGATTTCCTTATGATACAAAAAGGTTGCCATAAACTTTGAGAAATTATAACCATATAACTTATGGCTATTAAAATAAGTTATAAAATCCAGCCTAGTTGATATGTATGCATGCTACACAAATATAAGAATGTTCTAATGTAAACAGCAAATCATACCTGCACATTTGGTTCGGGTGATAAGCGGTGGGCCTGGTTGCCCAGTGCCACCCTCTCCAGGTCTGGTCAGAAGAACACGGATTTCATATTCTGTATCCGGGTCCAAATGCCACAGCTTATAAGTTGGTGCATTTACAGCATGGGTTTCTGTCCAGGTCCCAGTTGTCATATGGTATTCCACTTCTTTCAGGATAATAGGCCCATCTCCAATAATGGAATTAGCATTCAACTGAATCAGCAAATAAGTTGGTCCAACTCCAAGCAGCTGTGGGGGTGCTATTGGTCGAGGTGGTTCTGTAAAACACAACGTAAGACTGAAATAAGATTCATCTTAACACAAGTATAATCCCAGACCTTAAAGCTCTCTAACAAGAATTTAAGGAAAGACACGGTTATTTAAACATGTAACTCACAAAGAATATAAACAGATAATAAAATGAAAAATGACTAAATATATTTTAATACTTCTGCAAAATTGAATTTATCATTGGAGACTGAAACAGAGGACAAAATATAGCGACAGAGTTTCTGCCTACAGAGGCATTGCCTAGAAGTGATTTATTTTAGGAAGCAATTAAAGCAACACATACTTTCCCAAATAAAATGAATCCACTAATAAACACGGAGGCTTCATTTTCATTCCAGATGGCTCATATTTTGGCTAATTTGTTTCAGTTAATTAGGCAACAATGCTAAATTCAAGGCACACAGGGGTTTCACAACCAGCAAAAATGCAACTTAGCAACTTAAAAAACTCAATAGGAGACTAGAAAATATCTAACTTAGATAGGCTTTTAGAATATGCCATATTTAAATTTGGGTTCCAGGCTTTTTGGGAGAAAATAATAGAAAAATAACAACAATAACATGATTATTTAAATCACTTTCCTCCAATCTGTGAAGGTTTGTGGACTAGAAATGGCTTCCAATGGACAACAACCACCAACAATAACAAAAAACTATCAAATACCACAAATATTTAAACCCAGATTACTTAACAAACAATCTGCTTTCTCACAACAGACCTATATACACAGTGGGGAGGGACAGAGAATGTAGGAACAGCTCTGTCCTTCAAGAAGGTAGATTCACTTTAAGCCCTCAGGGGCTGGAGAGGAAGGTGGCAGCAACTGTGCCCTTGCTGGCAATACCCTCTTCCCAGGTATTATTCAAAAAGCCACTTCTTACAGACACTGTACAACGAAAAGCAATAAGATCCTCCAAGTTTTGCTATAAAGTTTACCTACATCAAAGTGAAACCAGGAATTAGTTCTCACTTTTCTCTAGAATTTCCCTAACTAAGGACCTGGCTACCTCCTATGAAGATAGATCCAGTTGGTCAGCCGAATTGGTCTGAAGCAGTACGACAAAAGTAGAGTCCACTGGCACCTTTAAGACCAACAAAGGTTTATTCAAGGTATGAGCTTTCGTGTGCAGAAACACTGTATCAAATACGTTAGAATGGCAGGCAAGGTTCAAACTTATAGCCAGAGAATGAACAGCAAATTAACATGCAACATGATGATGATCAAGATATGCAAAGTGGCAGCAGATAAAGATTCCTAGTCACTTCCCACAATTAGAAAAGACACAATTTATTTATTTATTTATTTTATTTATTTAATTTCTATCCCGCCCTCTCTGCCGAAGCAGGCTCAGGGCAGCTCACATAAAATTCCATTAAACAGATAAAAAGATAATTGAATAAAATATGTATAGATAAAAAGTATAAAAAACCCTACATAAAGTGCTAGTGCATCTCATATGGCGATGGTGAGGCATCAGTGGCATAGAGGTACAGTTGGCAGGCAACTCAGTCTGGGTCATATCAGCGTATACAGGCTGTCGGTGGTATTCAAGTTGGGGCCAGGGCCTCAGTTGATTAAGTGCGGCTCACTAATCAAAGGCCCTGCAGAACTGTAAAAGGTCCCGCAGGGCCATGATGTCTTCTGGGAGCTCATTCTGCCAGTATGGAGCTGCCACTGAGAACGCCCTGGCCCTCATCGAAGCCAGCTTGGCTTCTTGGGGGTTGGCGCAGGCGCACTATATCCCAAAGGAGTGATGCACAGAGACCACTAAGAAGATTACCAGGTGCCATCAGGAGGTCCACCAGTGTGGCCAGGACACTAGAAGCCCTCCCATTGATGCCCCCCCAAGCTCCAAGAAGATTGCCTCTTTTATAAGTTTAAAAGTACTCTTCTGAATTGGCTAGTCCCTTGTATGTATTCTGTATCAAACAGGAGTGGATAGTCGTGTTACTTTCTCTTCCTATAAGCCTGCACCCAGTGTGTATAAAACATGCAAGAGTTCTTTTTTTTTTAAGTTGCCTCTCACTATCCATTCAACAACATTGTTACATCAACCGTGGTCAGAGATGTCTCTGTGCTTTTTAAGTCAGCAAACATATTTTCAAGTGTATTTAAGAATGGAAGGTGACTGTAGTTATCATTCTTCGTTACTAAAATTCACTCATCATGCTTATTTTTCTTTTCTTTTTCTTTCTCTGGTCCACTGCAGAAATTAACAGCAAAAGCTGTGGGAATAAATGCTTAAGGAATAGAGTAGACACCAATCCCACCAAAAAAGCTAGCTAAATACTGTAGTACTTCCTTTGGCCTCCCAATGTGCAAAGAGAAATAAAGAAGAAAAGTGGATGGAGAACTTTTACACTGAGGAGAACATAATGTAATTAATTCAAAAGTCTTCTGAGAGCTTGGAACACACTCCAGATGTTTCATCAAGAAAGTCTTTGATGAAAAAGGAAGAAATGGTCTCTGTTAATGAGAATCTCGAGATGGTCAGTAATTAATCTGCACTTGGAGATCATCAGAATCCAGAAGCTTAGGTGACTTATTCCTTATTCATACTCCTGAATCATAACACAACAAAGATGCAATGTAAATACAAAATGAAAGCTCCTGAGCAAAGATTACTTCTTAAAAAGGACACTAATGCATGGCCAGACTAGGACATGCTGACACCCCAAATTATGTCAAGTATAAGATATTTTTATTTATTTATTTATTTATTTTTGGGATTTCTATCCCGCCCTACCCAGAGGCTCAGGGCGGCTAACAACAATTTTAAAAATTTGTAACAATAAAACAGTATATATACAAATAAAATTTGGTGCTACAGATCTACATGCATTATACACAGGTCTATATGCGGTATACACAATACACAGCAGCCCCCATTTGCAGTAGCGGAAACGCCAGGAGCAGTCATCCCACACAGTTTTGCGGGCGACATCTACCCCCCACCCCAGGGTACAGTAGATGGATGGTAACATCGCGGTGGTGGTATAGCGGCGGCGGCGGCTCCTACCCAAAGGCCTGGTGGAAGAGCTCCGGCTTACAGGCCCTGCGGAACTGTACAAGGTCCCACAGGGCCCGGATCTCCTCCGGGAGCTCATTCCACCAGGCAGGAGCCACCACCGAAAACGCCCTGGCTCTGGTCTGGGCCAACCTCACAGCTCGGGGGCCTGGAACTTCAAGGCGATGGAGATTCCCCGATCTCAGTGCTCTTGAGGGAACATACATAGTATTATCAAAATTTGCACTGTTCTGTCAGGGAAATTTGTGAATATTTTTTTAATATTTAGAAGCCCATATTATGTGAAACCAGATGCCAAACTAGAGATTGAAGTTTATATAACCTGTCCATAAAATCCAGGTCTGCACTGTTGACAGTGAAAATTTTACTGTGGAGGAGGAAAATGACCTTATCAATACCTAATTTTGATTCCTTATAGCCACTGGAGCTCCCCCCAACACACACACAAAATCGCAAACCACAAAACTCATGGTGTGTGGGAAGGGTCATCGCACATGTGGCAGCACTTTAAAAATCTCAACAACTGTACATGGCAATACGTAACATGTACCTTACAAGAGAGGGGCTACAGAATGAGGGTAGTTCTAAAAGGGTGGGTCCATCTCCACTGTACAAACATATGCAGGATCCACTATGAATTGCTTGTTGCACTCCCCATTACAAAATTAAGGGCACAGAATGTTGCAAGAACATCTTCCATTTTCAGATGTAATGTATCAAAGGGACTGTTACCGACATCTGCTTCACTCTTTTTTTAAACAACAGTACTATGCACTGCCTACTCAACAGCTTACTATTATGGCATGGGTGGGAAACACACTGTTTTTTACACTAAGCAACACCCAAATGCAAGTCCTAATTGCTTTGTTGAAGAGTACCACACACTCTGTTTCTCTCTTGGCAATTAGAATGTCTGCAACACAAACACACATAAAAAACACAGGTAGTTTGATGAGGACTGGATCATCAGCTACAGATTCTCTTCTAATAACGTTTGCAGAATGTTGGAAAGTAGTGTACTCATACTACTTGGCTAGTCAATTTCAGGAAGTTCCCTCCCTAAAATAAATACAGATGCTGAGATTCCATTGGTTATACAATTACAATGATGTAATGGTGGCCAATATTACAGGGCTGTACTACTGATATACTGTTCTACTGATAAACTGTTGTCAAAGTGGTATACTCATGCTTTTTTAAAGGTAAAGATTACAGGTGACTGCAAAAATAATCTACTAGCACAAAATATATAATAGCATTAGAGAAGTACAGAAGAATAAGGGCCTAGTGAAGAGTGTAAATGCTGTCTACCTGTCCTTGACAAAATTTGCCAGTGATTCATAGGCATCCAATGAAATTGTTCTTGGAAAAGATTAAAATTGAAATGGAAAATACTGGAACTCCACAGAGACTTCATACTTTTGAGAAGGTATAGGGAGGTCCTGTTTCTGAAAAGTGTTCAGAGTTTGACTGTGTACCAACCTCTTAGAATGGCATAGAAATTTCAACTTTTATATCTTTGTAAATAAAATCACTTCCTTTAGTACAGCAGGGTGGGATGAGACTAATTTGCTGAATGCTGAATCCATCCTTTGCTTCCAAAGTATGGAATTCACATTACCATCTAAAGGGAAAAGGTACAAGACTTTTAAGACCCAAGTTTAAAACTACCTGAGTGTACCACGGGCAGAATACCATATCATCAACATTCTTAATGCCTCAAAATGGATGCTATGATCAGAAATACATACTCTGAATAATGGCATAATTATTATGGGTAAAACTGCATTCATATGGCTAATGTATCACTGCATGTTGCATTATTCTTGGTATATCAGAAAGAAAGAAAATTCTTATATTAGCATATATGTTTGTTTTCCAGCCCTTAAATACAAAGAGACATTTATACAGTCTGTTCATGTTGCAGCAAATTATGCATAAATTTTAATCAGTTATTA